TATCTTTGCACTATGATTGGATTAGTTGAGGGCCCACTTTCAGGAATAACTAGAGGTGTGAGGTGGTAGTGGCCAGGGAATTCTGTTCAGTGCTCCAGGGTGAAGGGCATGTCTGAGGTGACACACCCAGGTTTGGTGTGGTAAACCTTTTTTTTTTTTTTTGATCAAAGGGGAGGTTTCTTCTTGTATGTTGGTATAGACTCAGCTGAGCTCCTCTCCTTGAAGGAGACCAGTGCCTGGGCGCTAGCCCCAGTGAGTATACTATTTGTCTGCTCTGCCACGAGGACCACACAAAGGACCTGTGTATGCTTCAATATAAGCTCCGATCTCCCGGCAGTGTCTCTCACCGGATAGCCAGGGAGCCCTGATCTGTGGAGCCTCCCACCGTGCCTGCCCAGTGTCCCAGCCACACCCTGAGTCCTCCCACACAGCCTCTGTGTTTTCACAGTCCCAGCACACAGCCTCTGTGTGAAGTTTTTGTGATGACTAATTCAGCCATACTCACAGAAGAAATCCCTAACTTCAGTGATGAGATCCAGTGGAAAATGATTTTTTCCAATGAATTTGTCTATTTTGTGAATGTTGTTGAATTTTTTCCCAAAAAGTTGTTGGTTGTAGTCTCGTTTATTCTTTAATTATTGGAAAAATCTATAATCTAAATATCACCCCTTATTTCTAATAAGGGCAATTTGTGTTTTTTTTTTTCTTCCTTGATCTATCCAGCTAGGAGTTTACCAGATTAATTAAGCCTTTTAAAAACATCAATGTTTGATAGTGTTAGTGCTATATTTTTTTAATTCTTTTCTATCATTGAATTTTATTTTTTCATTATTATGCCTCAACACTTACTGCACCTTTCTTTTTATTGCTTTATAAGGGAAAAACATGGGTCATTTATTTGAAGCCTCCCTTCTTTTCCTAATATAACTAAACTATACTCAAAGCTGTTCATTTCTTTTTAAATACTATATTAGCTGTAGCCTGAAAATGTTTACATACTAAGTTTTTAATATTATCAATTATGAAATAATTTCCAAAGTAACTGGTGATTTCTTCTTTAATTCACGTGTTATTTAAAAGTGTATTAAATCAAAACAATTAGTGAATTTTGATATTTAGATAGCTTAACTTTGATTTCTAGTATGTTTCAAGCTTGTTCAGAGATTATAGTCTGTGTAGGCTTTTGAAATGTTCTGAGACATGTGAGCAGTCTTTGAAAAGTTCACCAAAACTGTATGCTACAAAACAGCTATGCGTGGATTTCAATGTTTTTACATGGAGATAAACTTTGTAATTTAATTCCATTTTATGTTAACTTTTTGAAATACCTTCCTACTTCATGGCCTGGCATATGGTCTAGCTTGGTCAACATTCACACATGAAATGAATGTCAATTTTGCAGTGGTTGGGCACTGTGTTTAAGAATCTTTATTTTTGACTTGATAATATCACTTGTGTCTTCTGTTTTGTCCTGATGTTTGCTGCCTGGTCCACTGATTTCATGGAGAGAAGGGTGAATATCTCCAGACTTGCTTGTGTCTGGGTCTCCCTCTGCTTCTGTTAGTGTTTGCATTGTTGATTTTGAAGGCTCATTAGTAAGTGCACCTTAAGTCTTCCTGACTCTGTCATTTTTCTTAAACTCTATTTTTTCTGATATTAATGTAACTATATCAGCTGATTTAAGAATGCTTTTTGTATGATATCTTTATCCATTTTTTATTTCCAATTTGTAAACTTATTTCTGTCTTTGTTTGAAATTTAACTTGTAGCTGTTCAATTTATTGTGTTTTTGTTATAAAGTTCCTTTTATTTGGTTTTACTTTCCTGTCCAGTTGAACAACTGTGAACTTTCACCCAGATTGTTTAAGCCATCATATTTAATTGTTGGTATTATAGATTTTAATTTACCATTTTGCTATTTAATTTCTATTAGTTCCATTATTTTCCTTTTTATTACTGATAAAAGCTTCCTGTTACTTGAAAAATGAGTGATTGTGATACACTCATACCCCAGCACTGCATCATCTGTAGCTGCACTCTTAGTCTGTGTTTCCGGAGAGCCGCGTATGACCGTTTTGCACCTAGTGCAGTCCCAGTCGTAATACTGACACGCTCAGTGAGAGTCCAGGCCAGCCACTTGAAATGCTGGTTCCTTGCAGGCATTATTAAGTAATGTGAAACATAACCGAGTCGGTGTTCCTGAGCCTGGGCTTAGTGAGCAGAGCTCTTCAGCTATGTGGTGGAGTAGTAGGTGACACATCGTTAACCAGGGCAGCCCTTAACTGCGCAGATCAAAGCATGGCTGAACTGTGCACAGGTCCTGAGTCTTTTCTGCCCAAGTGTAACATTAGTTATTGCAAATACATTGTCTTTATCAGGCACCTCGTCTGCTTCCTCAACACGAGTCGGTGACCTGACTCTTCAGTCTGCAGTGTAAACGGCCAGAATTACTTTGAAATTTGATCATCTCCGTATCCTGGGCACTTTACTAAACTGGGAGCTGTCCCCCACACCCGACAAGGTCTTCAATCCCAACCTGCACTCCAGAACCATGATTTAATAGGATCTTTGTTCCAAGAGGACTCTGAAGTTTCAATAAGGATATAATGACATCCAACAGGAATTCTTTAATACAGCCGTTGTTCGGTATTCCAGGAGTTAGTGAAGTCAGGGTCTGATAAAAATGAGCAGACCAGTGGGACTGAATTGTTCTGTTGTGATTTAGCTTGCATTTATCATGTGACTCTTTTAGGCACTAGAGTTTTTGCATGTCCAGGATTGAGCACCGTGTTTCTATGGCAGATAACTACATCTGTAAGGGACCAAGGTCTCCGACATGGCAGTTCAGGGTTCTCCCAACTCTGTGTGTTGTGCCCACCTGGAGGACTGGACTGCAGAAGGAGCAGGGCACAGGAGGAGGCTGACTTACACAAACGGCACGAACCAGGGCACAGGCTGAGTGAGTGAGTTCCATGCTGCAGTGGTGAGCTAGCAACAGCATCCGTACTTCCAGGAGCTTTGTACTTGGAAAAATTGAAAGCGTTGCTTTGAATTATTTTAATCCTGCAAACGTTCCCCAAACCTGGGGTAGAAGATTCTGAAATTGCTCTGGGCAGTAGCCTGATTCGAGTTATTTTCCTATCATGAGATGGTCCTCTTACGTCATCTTAGACTTTTCTATGATCACAGTTTCCTAGTAGCTATTAATTTCATAATACATGAGAAGTCGTCCTGCTCATTCCATCACTGTTTTCCACAGGAACAAATTTGCACATGTTTGACTTACTCAGAAAACATTTACTGAAAGGCACTGAGGCGTCAAGCCCTGTGCCAAGGAGTGATGATGAATACATTTATCAGCAGAGGGTCCAGCACTTGGCGTAATGGTTTGGATGCTGCCTGAGACACCCACACCCCATATCGAAGGGCCCATGTTCACGTCCCAGCCTCTGATCCAGATTCCAGCTGCCTGCTCGTGTGCCATAAGGGGCAGCAGGGGATGGCTTGAGTCTGTGTGTCGCTGCCCCCCACAGGGGAGACACAGACTGAATTCCTAGCTTCTGGCTTTGGCCTGGATCAGCCCCTGCTGTCTCAGAAATTCGAAATGAACCAGTTGATAAGAGACCTACCCATCTGTCTCTCTGCTTTTCAAATACATAAAAACAGCAGCATGTTAGAATATCATTTATCATGCATATGTTGTCTGGAAAGTCTCAGAAACAGCCCAGTGAACTAATACCCTAGTTCTCGAAGAGCAACCACAGAATGGAGGCATGATGGGATCACGAATGCAGACACTGGTCTGCAATGAGGCTGGACTCTCCTTAAACCCTGGGAGTAGGAAAGGAAGCGTGCAGTGGTTCAGTGCCAATTAAGTGCCAGGCTCCGAGTTAAGCACTTTGCCTACTACCACTTCATTTAACCCTGACACAGGACTGGTGGTGCCATCCACACTTGTGCAGTGAGAACACAGGGATCCTGCCTGCCCAGATCTGCCCTGCTCCCAGCCCTGTCCACAGAGGAATGGTCTGTCTCCCTTGGAAGCCCAGACTCTCTCCTGGAACACTCTGGCTATCTCCCAGGTGACCCAACCACAGGCACAGTTTCATGTTTCTCTCATTCATTCACTCATTCCTTTATGTCTGCATACCACCTCTGCTGAGTCAGCTGTGTCCCATCCACCCAGGAAATATCTCCGAGCCCTCACTGCAGTGCAGGTACACCTGCTCCTTGTCTCCTCCAGCCTCTGATTCTGACCCACTCTGTCAGCACCAGACACTGACCCTGGGCCCACCCACTCTTGTTTGAAGGGAGTCGTATTTATATCCTGGTATTCTGTCAAGTTGAAGTTCTCTAAAGTGTTTGGATTAAGCATAGTTTACTTTTTAATTTGTAAAATGTAATTTTGTTAGATTTATGATCAATGAATACAAATAAGTAAGGTCTTAGGATGGCATTAAGAGGAAGCAGGTGTGAAACAAGTATCTTATTCTTCATCAGTCATATGCATCTATGCTAAGCAGAGATTCACTTTTAATTAAAACATCTTAGAGATGCGCACTGTTATTTATTTATTTCTTTGAAAGGCAGAGAGATAGAGAACTATATTAAAATTACATATATATATATGGGGAGAGAGAGGACAGGGAGAGGAGAGGGGGAGGGGCAGAGGAAGAAGAGATCCACTGGTTCACTTCCCAAATGCCCACAACAGCCAGCCTGGGCCAGGTCTCCTGTGTGGGTGACAGGGACCCAGGTACTTGAGACATCACTCACTTTCTCCCAGGGTATGCGTCAGCAGGAAGTTGGTTTGGAACTGGAGGTGGGACTTGAACCCATGTACTCCTGTGTGGGATGTCGACATCTCAAGTGTGAGCTTGATCACTTCACTACATCACAATGCCTGTCTCCACTTTGAATTTTTACCAGTTGCTTTTTCCTTTATCATGGCTGTACAGTCTGTGTGCAGTCCTGATTCCCTTTATTTTCCCCCTCTTTAGGACATCTGTAAGGCCTTGTGGTGCCATCAGATTGGTAGGAAATGTGAGACCAAATTCATGCCGGCTGCCGAGGGCACCGTGTGTGGGCACGACATGGTAAGACACTAACGCCTGCAACGCCACGCTAGATTCTTAGTCTTTCTGCTCACCTGTCTTCCCTCCTCTAGCGCTGGTGTTTTTAGACCTGTATTTCTCATACCTGCACCTGTGTCAGAACGTTGTGTTTATTGTCTATTTGGTCCTGTGAAGAGAGATCCTTTGATCATTTGTTGTGAAAGTGTAATTGATGAGATACCTGGAACTCAGGGACACAGAAATCAGGCAGTCGGTGATGACAGGATCCATGTAACGAGTGGGAGCATGAAGCCACAGACGGCAGTTACCCACGCAAGGGCCGGCAAGGCTCAACCTCGCCTTGCCCCAGTCACAGGCCGTGCTCTGCTGGCTTCTAGCAGGCCAATGGCCAGCACCTTCCACCGCACTCTCAGCAAGGCCAGGAGCACCAGGTTTCCTGAACTTGACACCACAGCAGGGGGTGAGCAAAGCCATGGAGCCGTGACCTGTAGTGCGTGGGGAGCATTGCCGTGTGATGGCGTGATGTCTCCATGTGAATTACAGCTGATGAGCCGTGCTCTCGAGAAGGGGCCGTGACAGCATCCCCAGCGCTCGTGGGGACAGCTGGCATTCCACATGGACCATCTGGCCTTGGAAAGCTGTGTGGCCTCTAGCACGCCTGATAACAGTCACCGCCGAGCGGGGGTGGGGGTGGAATGGGCGGGAGGATAGGGCTGGCCAGGAGTGACACGGTGCTGAGTCCAGCGGAGCCCCCAGCTATGCTGCGTCACCAGGCTCCCTCCGTCTGACAATGAGCTGTGACAAGCACCTCGTTTCCTGGGAGGTCAGAGTTCATGGAGGCAGATGATGAACAATGACACCGAATGCTCCTGGGTCAGCCTGCCGTGTCCTGAGCTCAGACGCTGGAGAAGTATTTCTCTGTTCATCGTCCCCCGTCGGTGGGTTTATAGAATGATGCTGGGTTTGGGTAGAGGGGAGAAGGTGAGCGATGTGAAATGTATTTTTACGAGATCCCACTGGAGGGTAAGGATGCAAATGCCTGTGTGTTTTACAAAGCTCCCCACTGCTCAGCGTTAGGGTAGTAGGGACATGGCTCCCTGTTTACCCAGGATTCATGGAAGCTGTTCTGTTCTGTTTTGTTTTATTATTAAAATGTTTAGTGGTGCCGCGGAGGACAGTGTGTGAAGTACGGTGATGAAGGCCCCAAGCCCACGCATGGCAAATGGTCCCCCTGGTCCCCTTGGTCCCCTTGCTCCAGGACCTGCGGAGGAGGGGTGTCCCACAGAGAGCGCCTCTGCACCAATCCCAGGTAGGCGGGCCTCGCCGCCCCTCCCCAGGGTGCAGTTCCGATGCTGTGAGCCTTGCACTGCCGAGTCTGCTCGCCTCGGCCTGGCGGAAACACTGGCTGGGGAAGGCTGTCGCTCAGTTCACTTGCTCTGTGTTTCCGTAAGACGCCCGTGACAGTGTGAGCACAGCAGAGCTGATGAGACTGCCAGCTGTACTCAGGATTGGATTTCAACCACATGTGGTTGCAACACGAAGAACCAGTTAAAGACAAAAATCATAAGAAAAAGACACAGAGCACAAATTAATAAGAATCAATTAGAACAATTCTTTCATGCAAAAAGCACTTCTCGTTTTGTTTTGTTTTGTTTTCATTGCACGTATTTACCTGTGCAGCAGGTGTACTGTGGGCCTCTGTCAGAACGAGAGGATGTCAGACACGGCCGCCCATGTGACAGAGGCGTCCACATCGTCCTCTTGGTGCTGGGGTTGTTAAAGACTAAGCCACACCCCAAGTTAACGTAGCCATGTTGAAGGGCAGACTCTGCTCTCCCGCAGGCGTGAATGTGTCAAAGCCAACCAACAAAAGGCTCGTCCTCCTGGCCTGGCCTTGTGGCCAGTAGGCCGGTGATGGAAGAAGCCACGGCCTGCGAAGGGACGTCGCTGGGTTCCGTCTCGGTGTTGCCAGTCCTCTGTCGTCCCAGCTGGGAGAACCAGCTTCTGTAGTGTCTCCTCCTTCCGGGCTGTGAGGAGCAGGGCGGGCTTCCCTACCCCTCTTAGAGGGAAGCTGGCCCGCAGCAGAGGGAAAACGCCCAGGAGCCCTCTGCCCAGATCCTAGGCTGTCCTCCCAGTGTCAGGGTCAGTGGAAAAGAAAATGCTTGTCTCGTTGCCCACGCTCAGTACTTTAAGACCATCCGGCCCCTCCCTCCGGAAGCCTGAGTTCAAGGAAGGGCCGAGGGGCTGCTGTCACACAGGCTGCTAACCGTGACCTTCACATTGCAGACCCTCGCATGGGGGGAAGTTCTGCGAGGGCTCCTCTCGCACGCTGAAGCTCTGCACCAGCCAGCAGTGCCCGCAGGGCAGCGTGGACTTCCGCGCCGCCCAGTGTGCACAGTACAACAGCAAGCGCTTCCGCGGCTGGCACTACAAGTGGAAGCCTTACACGCAAGTCGAAGGTAAATCCCAAACCCGGCCCTTGGGATGCACCCCCCCCGCGCGCGCCTTTTTATCATTACTGTTTGAAAAATAACGCAGCTGGCAGTGCGGGGTTCAGACAGACCAAATATGTGGACACACACGCTAAGCTTGATTCTTAGAATTCTGTGGCTGTGTCTCTCATCTCGAGTGCCGAGGAGCACGGCTGTAAACGCCTCTCGGCCTCTGGGATGCCCGAGGCAGACAGCACCTTCATCCTCAGCTGTCCCTTCTTTACCAAGAGGGAACAAAGGACAAAAAGGGTCTCTGCAGAAGTTCACGTTACTGCGTGAGCGCTCAGGTCTCGGGATGGACCGTGGAGGCCTGAAGGGAGCCTCCTCCATGCTCCAGCCTTCTTTGACAGTCCATTATATTGGTATAAAGCATTGCTCCGTAGAGATTTCAGCCAAAAAGCATTCTTTTTATCAGTTTAAAATTTCTGTGTATTTCAGAAATTTGGTGACTATCTTAGTTCTTTAATGACATTTTATTGGTAAGAATTTTGTGTAATTATACAAAGTGGTAGTGGCTCTTTTGCACTTCTGCCAGAAGGTAGTAAAATAGTAAAATATCAGTATCGAGGCTAAGTCAACAAATATCTATTGAATGCCTACTATGTGCCAACCACTGTATGAAAGACAAATCCGTGCAGGACGCTGGAGCGCAGAAGCATAGACAAATAATAAGAAGAAATTTAAAGGGAAGATACACGGCTAATGAGGCGACCATGCAGAGTGTCTGTGCAATTAATATTGTATGGGAGTTGTTTTATGGGGAAAAAGAAAGTTTATCTAAAATTCAGAGCAAAAATGATCAGAGCTTAAGTATCTTTCTTATTTGTGTTTGTGTGTGTATTTCTTTTTAAGATCAGGACTTATGCAAACTCTACTGTATCGCAGAAGGATTTGATTTCTTCTTTTCTTTGTCAAATAAAGTCAAAGATGGGACTCCATGCTCGGAGGATAGCCGTAATGTTTGTATAGATGGGATGTGTGAGGTAATAATGATCATTCATTCATTCAACAAACGTCTCCGGACAGCGTGCTTTGTGTCAGGCCTCCTGCAGGGACACAGAAAGAACAGAGGGAAGAGAGAAGCCCCTTCCTCCAAGTCCCAGCCCAGCGGGGGAGGGCAGAATGCACCTTGGCGACCCAGTTTTGTTGCCACAGAGGTGCGCACAGAGCCCGAGGAGTGGGGGCAGTGGGCTCTTTCTCAGATGTAGGTCAGGGACACGTGCTGGCTTCCAGCTCTGCAGCTGAGCGAGGCCAGCATGGGGCCAGCAAGCGCAGGTGGCCAGCAGGGGGTCAGCCCTCAGCACCCTGGGATGGCCACAGGAGCTTGGGTGTGCGGAGGGAGTAGGGGAGAGGGAGGCTCTTGAAACCTTGGCGGCCTAGGTGGAGAGCTGGGGTTTCCACTCTGCCCTGTGGGACAGGCTGTGGGTGTGGGAGCAGCGGAGCCCTGGGTGCAGCTTCCTGGCATTCGTGAGGAGGGTCGGAATGCAGGGGCAGCTGAGATCCCAGCCACGTGGCAGCCCTTGCAGCAAGTCTGCCAGACGCACAGCCTGAGGCCGCGCCATGGGCGGGGAGGGGGCAGACAGGCCTGGCAGGACTGGCAGCTAAGTGAACACCAAGTGGCCACCTTGTGGCTGCCACAACGGGCGTGGCGAGCAGTTTCATCCTAACCAAAGGAAGGTGCTGCAGTGTGACACACTGCCCGTAGACCACAGCGCTCCTTTCCTCTGGGCTGTGTGCCGGGGCCCAGCGGGTCCTCCGCAGACAGCCTGAGTGTCCTCACCTCAGGGCCTGAAGAGTAGACCAGCTGCTTCCAGGAAGGACTTGTGCAGCTCTATCACACCCTGGCTCGTCCCACTGGGAGTTGATCCATCAAATAGTTCATGACTTTTCGTTCTGATCCGGTGTCACAGCCCCTCATTCGTAACTCTAGAATCCAAAACACTGTCACGTTCTGGGGGGACCTTCATTTGCTTGGCGGCGTAACCCACCCTCAACTGATGCAAGACTGTTGATGGCTTGATTCACACCACGTGCTGCAAGTGTGTGTGGCTTTAGCCAAGAAACGCTAACATGTTTCATGACGGCTGTCACCTTAGGTCTTGCTGGGACCTCTAAATGCACCCTTTACGTGACAGACTCTGTCTTTCTCAAGTTCATAAATCCCTGGGTTCTGAAAGGCATCTGGCCTCAGGTATTTGGAACGAGGGATTGTGGACTAGAGATTTAATTCCTGAATACTGTGTAACCTAGAGACTGTTACACGTAGAGGCTGTTCTCTTTCTTGAGAAATGTGAAACAAGCCAGCATCCCAGAAATTATAAAGAGCCGTTGATATTCTAAGACACTGAACACAGATGCCCTGCACATAATTTGCTCCCAGGGAGAATTTCCACGTGGCCTCTGTAAGTTCTCGGACGTTGTACACAGCATCCCAAAAGCAGAGTGGCATCTCTCGGTGGACCCTCACTGTGACACCACACTTGTCCTTCTGCGAAGCTCTCTGCCAGTCTGAGTTGCCCCGCGGCTCCAGCACGAGCGCTGTGGGTTTGGCTGAGGGCGCAGGACATAGCATTGCATAGAGGACTGCAGAGGACAGGGGACGCTTCACAGGTTAAAGCTTCCCACTTCAGATCTGAAGCGTAGAATTGTCACCTCACCGGGCACATATTGGGTATCCAATAAATATTCGTTAACTGCCCTGTGTCACTGGAGCTTTCTGTTGTAGTGGGGAGGAGATTTCTTGCACGAAGTGATGACATCATTGCTTGTGTTGTTCTTTCTTGCATGAATGACACGTGACCTGGTGGATCCTGAAGAGGGTTGGGTGTGACAACATCCTGGGGTCGGACGCTGTGGAAGACTTGTGCGGGGTGTGCAAGGGAAATAACTCGGGCTGCGTGACTCGCAGCGGCCTCCACGCCGCGCACCACCACACCAACCGTGAGTACCTCCGAGCCGCTGGTTGCCAGCACGTGGTTTAATCTGGGGCTCCGCAGTGGGAAGAGGTTGGGCTGACAGTGGACAGCCTCTGCCCGGGCTCTGCACCGCCCCTCCTGCTGCAGGTAGCCCTTGGCCACTCCAGGCTTTGGTGGAGACTGGAGGTGGCGGTAGGTTACCTGAATTCAAGTGGTTTTTCCGAATAGTGTAAGTTATAAGCGCCCTATTCCCATGAGATAAGAAGAAACTGTTAACAGATGTGGTGCACACCCAGCTTCAAGCCTGCCTTCTCCAACTTGCTCAGGGGCTTTGCCTCGGCATTATTGAAAGACGAATCCTGTTTCTCTCGGTTTTTCTTTATCTAGAATATTACCACGTGGTCACGATACCTTCCGGAGCCCGGAGCATTCGTGTCTACGAAGTGAATGTATCTACTTCCTACATTTCCGTGTGCAATGACCTCAGGCAGTACTATCTGAACGGACACTGGACCGTGGACTGGCCCGGCCGATACAAGTTTTCAGGCACCACCTTCGACTATCGGCGGCCCTATAATGAGCCCGAGAGCTTAACCTCTGTTGGACCAACAAACGAAACACTGATTGTGGAGGTAGAGGCCAGCCTCGGGGCTTGGGGCTTGGATCTGGGGGTCTCCTACTGTTGTGGGTCCGTGGCTGTTAGCATCATCTTCAGTGCAGCGAGGATGCGTGCAGTTTTAGGGAGGAACCCGTCGCAGGCTGCCTGGGACCATGGACTCGCTTTGATCACCTGTCACTTTCCGTGTATGTTCATGTTTGTGTTCGTGTACTTACATGTGTTCTCGTGTCGGGTGTGGCTGGGTTGCTTTTTGCCACAGTCATTTCTTTGCTGTACATTCAATGACCAGCAGCGCCTTCTGTGGGAGCCTTCTGTGCCTGTGTTTTGGGTGGGCTCAGTGTCTGGCCTCTGTGTCCTGTGGAAATGTGGTGGGGATGAAAACCCAGAGGCCACACGCCTGATGCTGCTGGCCATCCCGTGTCACAGTAAGCCCCTCAGGGACCACAGCTGTGGGGCCACACTGGCCCCAGTGCTCAACAGAGGGTCACCTCCTGACCCAAGCCCTGTGTTCTCTGCCCGGGAATGCTGAAGCTCCCCCGACACAGTGAGGCTCCTACTAATCTGTAGTCCTCTGGACCCGGCACATGGTGCAGCCGGCCACAGACGTACCTCCTCCCCACCTTTCAGTATCGCACATTTCAGTTCACAGTTCAGGAAAAGTGCTTGGTTCACTAATTGCTTCCATCCCACCACATCTCGCTTTGGAGGTGGCAGCCACCGGCCTCTCCCACCTGCTCTCTGGGTTCGGCATTTCTGTTCCATCTCTGTCTTCCTGGGAGCTGCCTCCACAGGTGGTCCGGGTGTGGTGTGGGTGCTGTGTAGCTCCCAAGTCTGTAGCTGCTGCCTCTGTGTCTCACACCCTAACCTTGAACCGTTCCCTTCTGCCCCTTTGTGAGCTTGCTCATCCTGAACTTGTCCTTGATTATTTCTCTCTGGCCATCTAAGGCCTTTAGCTTGAATGATCGTGGAGAGAGAAATGTTGGGGTGGAGTGAGTGGAGTTTCTTAGGAAGCTGTCCTTGAAGGAAGGGGAGCTGCACAGGCTGACAGAGTCGGGGCCGGAGGCATCTCTGGCCTTGCAGGAGGCTGCCTGTCCTGCCTCACCACCTCTGCACCAACAGGACCCGAGCTGCCGTATCAGGGAGGGTATGTGGTGCCAGGTTGCCAGGCAAGGTCAAGTGTGTATCCCCATGAGTAAGGACAGCAAACAGCCTACAGCTCCAGTGTGGCATTTGTGTCAGTGAGTTGACAGGGAGGCTTCCAGAAAAGCCCTCTCATCGCATCCAACAATCCTTTGGAAGAAAAGTTAACTGTTCCATATGACTGGGTCTCGAGACCAGAAGTGTGGAGCCCAGGCTCGTTGCATGCATTAAAGCTGTGACTCACGGGGATGCTCTGCCTGAGTGACCTTCTTCACTAGTGAAGTGTCTTGTCCCTTGGACTTAAGAGGTACCTACCGGAAGGCAGAGTCCCCTGCGTCCTCTCAGTAGGAAACCCCAGCAGCTTTGATCAGCATTGGTGTCGAAGTGTTCAGGGTTCTTTCGAATCCACTGGGAAGCATCACAGTGCTTTTTGGGTGTCACCTTCTGACCCACCAAGATGCAGGAGACCTGAGGGGATTCCCAAAGAAAGAGGAGCAAGAAGACAACCTTGCTTCTCTCGGGTTGCTCAGGCCTTGGTCGCAGGCAGAGGCATGCACCGAGTGGAAGGTGAAGCCCGGATTGTCCCCAAGTTCTTCCAGGTGCACTGAGTCTAGCTGAGAGTCAGCCCTGTTGAGAAGCGTGGTTGAGTTTCGGGTGACGGGCCATGTGTACTTGGTCCCTGTGTGCAGCTTTTGGCTGAGACGGTGGCTGCCCTAGCGGGTTAAAGCAGCTGTGGCAGTCAGTGTGTGACCGTTGACTCCACTTTGTCTCCCTTCACCCCCCTCTTCTGCAGCTTCTGTTTCAGGGAAGGAACCCGGGTGTTGCCTGGGAATATTCGGTGCCTCACCGGGGGACTGAGAAGAAGCCGGCTGCCCCGCCCAGCTACACGTGGGCCCTTGTGCGCTCTGAGTGCTCCGCCACCTGTGGAGGCGGTAGGTCCTGGGGGCGGGGCTCCACCTCCCGCCCTAGCCCCACAACCCAAGGTCACGCACCGTGTTGTGTCTTGGATCTGTGAGGACGCGCAGTGTCTGAACCTTACAAGGAATGAGTGCGTTTCCCTCATTTAAACTTTGCCTAAGGAGCACAGGCCCAGAGATCAGCTTGCAAGGGTTCTGGTTCTTTCCTCCCTGCCTTGGGTCATCTTTGATCTGACCTACTAAGGATGCATCTCTGTCTGCCCGAGACATTAGAAGTTTCCCAGTCACCCCCCTCCCAATCCCCTACCGCCAAAATGCAGGTGGGAGAAAACGTAAAGATCTTTTCTTTTCTCCTTGAGAGAGGGAACACGTTCCTCGGGGCACCTGGCGTCCACCAGGCCCATTTCTTCAGCTGTGCTCAGAGGTCCAGGGGAGACCAGGGAGGCCGCAGCCCACCTTCCCCTTGCCAGAGTCCCTGCAGTCCAGTAAACCCTCTGCAGGGTGCTGGGTCCAGTGCACAAGCAGTCTGCAGTCCCGCCCACATTCCTGTGGTGGCCGTGGCCACTCCTCTCTGCTCCCGGTGTGGGGTGCACTTGGGCCGGGGCATCAAACCTGCAAAGCCAGAAGAATCTTAAACGTGAGTCATAACTGCCTCATCAAGATGTGCTACAGGTCCTTTTCCTTTTTTTTGGTTGGTCAGTGCTGTCGGGGGATGGGGCAGTCAATGGCTCAGTGTGTCACAGTCATCGGTAAGTGACAGTCGTCACCACCCTCTGAGCTCTGGTGCTCATTAGGATGCTGTAGGTGCAGATTTGTCACCTAGACACACCTGGGGTCATCCAGCCTCCACACAGCCTCCAGGGGTCACCGACTCTGGGCTCTGGAGTTGTCTCCCCTCTTGTGGTCTCAGGCTTGTGTGAGCTCACTCTCTGAGTCAGCGGTGTGCCCCGCCCTCACGGAGAAGCAGCACAAGCTCTCAGGAGACCAGTGCACTCACTTGTGCCGGTTTCCACTTTTCTGTGTGCTTGTGCTTACACATAAGATTCTCCTGTTGCCTCCTGCCTTAGGTTACTCTATAAAAGAAGGGTAAGGCTTTCGACAACAGCTGAAATCCATTCTGTAGTTAGAATTATCAAAAACGTTGAGATGCTTTGATAAAATCATGGTCTTTCAGGCTGAACGCTCCTCTTTCAGATACGTTGGCAGAATATGGAGATTTTTAAGTGATTTCCAAAGAACTGGCCCGAGTGGATCTCTATAAAAGATGAAAGTAGCACATTGCTCATCAAACTCACCACCTCCTGTGGCCAGGCTCCATCCCACCGCAGCTGCTGGATGGTTCCCTCGGAATCTCTTACTGTATCCTCTGCATTTCATATCTACTCGTGTGGGTCATCTTAGAACGCTGGCCCACATGCATCTGGCCTGCCCCTGTAATCTTTCTTTCTGACAAACTAGTGAAGTGAGCATCAGCAACATCGAGAACTTGCCTCACAGATGCGCCGTTAGGAAGAGAATGAAACGGTCTGGGTGAGCGTTCAGTTCAGTGCTGGAGAGAGCCTGTCCCGTAATGGGAACGTGTCTGAAAACAGACTTGTGCACAACCTGTGCAAAACCGACCTCGGGGAGCCCAGACACGGTTCTGCACGAGGCTCCTTACGTGTATCTTTATCATCTCAGAATATTCAGACCTTTGAAGACAAAGAACATGTAAATTCACTTTTTAAAAAATATTTATTTATTGGAAAGAGTGACAGAGAGAGGGGGAGAGACATTTCGTTCACTCCCCAAATGATCACAATAGCCAGAGTTGGGCCAGGCCGAAGCCAGGCGCCTGAAATGCCATCTGGGTCTCCCACAGGGGTGGCAGGTACTCAAGCACTGAGCCGTCTTCTGCAGGAAGCTGGACCAGAGGGGAGTGCCTGGGATGCAAAGCGACACTGCATGATGGGATGGGCTTCACACGTGGCGGCTTAATCCACGGCACCACGGCACAGGCCCCTGCGTTCACGTTGATGTCACTGTGTGTACACTGGTGGCATGTCACTCAGGATTCTCCAGAACAACAGAAACGAAAGATTTACCTTTAATAGACAACTTTATATTCTTAAGGAAACACGTTTACCACCATTCATACTTCCACCTGACTGTGAACACTGAATCATTTACAACCGCAAGATTTCCTTAGACAGTCAGGCTGTTGACTCCACGTTTGGGGGAGTGTTCAAATGAGGTGTTTCCTTAAAGTCTAAAGCCTCTTCTCGTGGGAAAGTCCTCGCTACCACATGTATGTGCATGCACACATGCACACACGCGTGTCCACATGCAGGTCACTTAGTAGACACAGACACTGAACAGTGACTTGAGCTCTGAGGGTCGGAAAGTACAGATGCTCTGGGTGCCACGAGTCTAAGACCTCCTGCTGAGATGCCTCGTGCGAAAGGACTGAGGTACTGCTGCTGGGGTGGGGGGTGGAGGGGCGGGCACCAGGCCAGCAGCATCAGCAGCATTTGGGAACTTGTTAGAAATGCACGTTCCTGGGCCGGCGCCGGGGCTCACTTGGTTAATCCTCCGCCTGCGGCGCCGGAATCCCATATGGGCGCCGGGTTCTAGTCCCAGTTGCTGCTTTTCCAGTCCAGCTCTCTGCTGTGGCCCCAGAAGGCAGTGAAGGATGGCCTGAGTGCTTGGGCCCCTGCACCCGCATGGGAGACCAGGAGGAAGCACCTGGCTCCTGGCTTCCGATTGGTGTAGCTCTGGCCGTAGTGGCCATTTGGGGGGTGAACCAACAGAAGGAAGCCCTTTCTCTCTGTCTCTCTCACTGTCTAACTCTAACTGTCAAATACATTTAAAAAAAAGAAATGCAAGTCCCTGGGCCCCAGCCCAGCCCCGCTGGCTGAGAACCGAGGGAGGCGGGCAGTGTGTGTGTGTGTGTGTGTGTGTGAAGCAGACTCTCCCTGTGCTGGTGCTGCACCCTCCAGTTGGAACGCCCTGGCCCCGGAGCTCCTTCCCGTTATGTTTTGCCAGAAGGACTTCATTGCAAGCAGACCCTAGGCAAAGACCCCACCCACACACACCCAGTGCCTGCCTTCACTCCAGGCAGCCTCCGGAGAGGTTTCTGCAACCCCTGGGGTTTAGGGAAAACATTGATTTTTAAAGGCGTAACAGTAACTTCCCTGCACACAGAGGGTTGTTGCCTGCTGGCTGCCATCAGAAGATTCCTCCCAGAGGCAGAGACAGGGAAGGGCCAGGCCTGTGATCTGTGGAAAGGGCAGAGGGGCCAGGTGAGAACTGCAGACGTAGACGTCTTGGAAAGCTCCCAGGACCCAGGCTGGGGACCATTAGCAGGCCTTCCCCACATGACTAACTGCAGTAATTTGGTAAAATGAGGGCAACAGCTTCTGCTAACAGAATCCCAAACCCTGCTGATCTTCAGAGATTGAAGTCCACACTCCACCCTCAGAAGCAAATTGGAAACCAGACCCACCGTGGGATGCAGCTGCCGCGACGGGCTCCATGGGTCCTGGACGCCAGCCCGCACATCTGCATGCACACACAGCAGCCCCACCCCCAGGATGGCAGGGCTGCCCCACGTGTCGGCATCTGCTCCCTCCCCTGACCCATTTCAGAAACTCCCCTTGCTCCTCCTTTCTGCCCTGGGTGGGGGAGGGGGAGCCTGTCCTTTCCAGCGCTGGTTCCCCACTGCTGCCCTTGGTGGTGTCACCAGACACCCCACGACCACGTGTCCCCTTGTGTCTTTCAGTGTCAGCCTTCACCCTCCCTGCCTTCTATCCCCTACGTGTGCTCAGGCCTCTTCAATCTCAAATGAGTTTTTCCTTTCTTCTTCTACCTCTGCCTTTTATCCTTTTGCCTCTCAGTAAGAGCTGTGGACATGCCCAGCCTCCATTCCCATCCAGGGGCCAGCCATGCATCCCTACGCACTCTCCTTCTGCACAGGCAGACCCTGCCAGCCACCACCTTCTCAGACTCACTCCCAGCCCCTCTAGAGCCCTGCAGCCCCAACACCTGCTCCGTGAAGCCATTTAGCCTCTGAATTCCCGAGACCCCCTTATTTCTGTCAGTGCAGAGGAATGACGCAACCTCAGTCGCTCTTTCTCCGTGTGCTCTTGAGAGTGCTGGAGTGTGCAGGGCTTTGTCCATCGTCGCTGCCAGGCGTGGCCGTGCGTCTTCCCGTGCAGGTCCGTCCATCTTCGTGCACTTGTTGGGGCTGCACTCCCAGAGTCTGACGTGCACCTCGTCCCCAGCTCAGGGACCCTCTGGTCTCTTTAAATCTTGATTTTTTCTATTCTGTAAGGATAGCTGATGACCCTTCTTGCTCTCTCCGTAGCTTTTTCCCACTCCCAACAGTCAGTTAACAAATCCATCTAAATAGCTATTCTCCCATATATGGTTATTTGTAAGTGTGTGTGAAGGTGTTCAGGAAGTTCATGGGAAATGTGCATTATGAAAATATGCAGATTTCAATTTTTTGCAGTAAAACAAAGATGCTTTCATCCCATTTTTGACAAATTTTTGAAGTCGCCGTGTACATATAACCATCCCCTCCAAATTTTCCCTTATCTTAAGTTTATATACCCTGTATTCTTTTGTCTGTGTTTCTGTGCTAGTTTCTCCAAAATAATTTTAACTAAAAATGATAATAATTAAAATTCCTTTTCTATTGCTGAGCTTGTTAGGAGTATTTCTAGTGTTTTCCATAATACTGCCTTCTAGGTTTAAAGAAACATACATGTATGTGTATTTATGTCTGTAGATACATAGATATAAATATGGGCACAAAAATATAAATATACTGATGTGAGTAAATTCTCATTGGATGTCTCTTTCATTAACATTTTAATTAAAAAGGGAGGCTAGATTAATCACATGCTGAACTCTGTTACATTTATGGTTAAGTTCATGTTTGTCCTGACTAGTTCAACTAAAGGTTGAAATGTAGTGACAGGTTTTCCTAATATTGAACCATCCTTACATTCCTGCTGCAAATTGTTACATGG